TAACTAAAGACCATATATATGAGATAATATTTATTTTGTTCATGCTTTACTCATATCTACAGCATCAACTGTCTTAACACAGCTCTATATACAGAAGAATTCTGAAAAATAGGAAGAAAAATACCATTCAGCATCATGCAAGGAAAAAAATAAAATAAACAAACTTACTGGAGCTGCTGGTGCATGGGCAGAGCAATCTGTGGGGGGACATTGATGAACCTTTCACTCAGGATGAGCCCCACAGGCTTTGTGCTGTCGTTGAGGAGTTTGCTCAGCTGCTCCAGCACCTGCTGCCCACAGCTCTGCTCACAGCGACTCAGGAGCAGCTCTTTGATTTGCTCAGCACACTGGGTGCCCTGCAAGCAAAGGTGCATTTCCTTTACCTGACACAGCAGCTGTTTACACAGGAAAACCCTCAATGTCACCTTGCAGGGAACTTCCTACAGGCCAGGTGGCAATTTCCCTCAGCAGCCTCTAAAGCACTGCACAGTTGCTGTGAAATCATTCTCCAGCCTAAAGCTGAGGGCAAACAAAGCTTGGGAAGTGATGGGAACAAGGAACTGCAAGAGCACAGCAAAACTCCAAACTGCAGAAGATCAGAGGGAGGAAATACAAGAGACAGACAGCTCATTTATGCTGGAATTACTAGGCCCAGTTTTAACTCTCTGTTCCATTCTCTGCTTCCCAAAAAAGCTAAGCCACTTCCAGTTTTATCACCCCAGTCCTCCAGAGTGGAATTCCAAATCCTGTCCAGCTGTCCAGACCTGTTACACAGGCTGCAGTCTCATTTACTACTGATGCTAACATTCATAACCAGATGTTACTGAGGAATACCAACCTTCCTTTCTGTTAAGTTCAAGCAGCTTATAAACCCAAATACTTCATCATCATCTTCTTCGTCATCAGAACTGTCTTCCTGCACTTCTGCTTGCTGTTGGATGAAAGGAAAAGCAACAGCTCATGCTGACATTCTATTTCCACTCTGTAGCAAAAGATGTTTTTCTTTGCAGGTGATATCAGCAGATGAAAACCATTGAGGAAATCTGCACAAACACACAGTGCACATTCTGCTGCATCACTGAGCACCTCAGTGTGCTCAGAGCCAGCTTAGAGAGGGCCAGGTCGTGCATCCTCCACAGCAGAGCCCTCTGAAAGGCACTGAAGGCTGATAGCCCACATTTAATAAGCAGCAGCTCGGCCCAGGGAATGGCAATATCTTAAACAAAACCAATTTCCTTCAGTTTCTAATGCAGTAAACCTGGAATGTCTGGACAAGCACAGAGCAGTGAAGCTTTGACAGGGAGGGGGACAAAGAGCTGTGTCTTTGTAGGAAAGTCACAAGCTCCTACCTCTTATGGAGATGGCAACAAACATCTCCATTGCATTTTCAGCATTACTACACTGAAATTCAGGGGGGGAAAGCTTTCCATATGTAAAAAGAAACCAGCAATAACAACACATCAAATTCATTCTTTGCTTGAAAGAAGGCATGGAAAATTTCAGTTCCCATAGAAAAATTATTCTTAAAGCAGAAAAAGCAAGAAAGCACACAATAACAGACAGGATCCCCTTCTGAAATACAGAAATAATGTCATTTTAACAAAGAAAGCATTGTACTTCCATTACTACTATCCTATCTGTCTTACCTTGATAATACTCCCAATATGGTTCTGTTGTATTAATATATCAGTTAATTCAGCAGTGTTAACAGCAGCTTTTAGAAACAACTGGAAGACAGAAAACAAGTATTACATTTCAGGCACTGAGAGTAACTCCTGGACCACTTAATAGAAAATAAAGTGAGATTTTTTTTTTATTTATCTTCCTTCATTATAATACTGCAAAAACTAACAATCAGCTGCTGGAGGTGCTTGCTCCTGCACCTTCCACATGCTGATATTTTCACATTGGTACCCTCTGGAGTTTGGTATGATCTGAAACTGTGGCTATTCCATCCCTGGAAGTGTCCAGGGGCAGGCTGGATGGAGCTTGGAGCCATCTGGGATAGTGGGAGGTGTCCCTGCCCATGGCAGGGGGTGGCACTGGATGGGCTTTAAGGTCCCTTCCAACCCAAACTACTCTGAGATTATCTAATAAAAGGAATATAAAAGTGATATATATATATATATATATATATATATATATATATCAATACAGAGAATGTGAACTGATGCCTTTGCACAACTCCTTAGATATTATTTATCAATGCAATATCAACCAAGCTGACAAGTAGCCACAGTACCTGCTGTAGCAACTTCTTTATCCCATTATAGTCATTGTCTGATATGGAATGTGCTTCAAATTCAACATTCACTTCCTGTGGAGGAAAATAGAGAATATCACACACACTTGGCAAGAGGTTACATCAGAACAAAGCTAAACTGTAAGAATCTTGAAGACAAGTAATGGCAAAGAGCAGAAACAGAACTTATTTCCACCTTGCAGTAATCTCAGCAATTGCAATAATTTCTCCTGTGACCTTTAGAGAACATCTGTGAAGGTAACTTTTTAAAGCTGACCCACCAGTTGTGCCATGAACAAAGCTTTAATGCTTTGCTCCTGCCATCTGGTTCACACAATTACAGCTGTTGTAGCCACAGGTTCTTCCTGCAGAGAGGCTTGACCCGGGAAGTTAAACCCTGGCAACTTCAGCACTGGGCTCTAACACCTTAGTGCAGATTGCTGCAGACATTTAAGTAATTACACCCAAACCCACACCCCTCCTATTTCCCCAAATCCTCCTGGCATCATTAATCCCACTGTGGAACTCTGCAAATGATGAGGCACTGCACAGCCACAATGGGAACTGCTGCTTCTCCTTCCAGAACAAATGCTGTGTGTCTACCAACATTTTTATTGGCATTCAAATTTAATAGTCACACCTGCCAAGGTTACTCTGCCCACCTATTCCACTGTTCAAGATCATTCAACTTTTAATTGCCAGTTTCAATTACACCTCCTGAATAAGCTCAACAACTCTGCCTTACTTTTGCCACTATTCAGCCTCAGAACTCTCTCCAGTCCCACATGGAGGTCATGGCCTTTGCTGTCCACTGGAAGAACAGTGTTAAAGACCTGTTTGCAATGTAGAAAACAGGCACACGATCCCTTGGAAGCCAATAAAATTCAGGAGGCACTGGCACAGGCTGCCCCTGGATCCCTGCAAGTGCCCAAGGCCAGGCTGGACAGGGCTTGGAAAACTCCAGGACAGTGGAAGGTGTCCCTTCCATGGCAGGGGGTGGAACTGGATGGGCTTTAATGTCCTTTCCAAACCAAACTACACTGGGATTCTACAATAAAAGGGAGCAAATCTATTTTTATAAGAATAAAACATAGCAGAAAATAATAAAAGAGCTAATGCTCTGTGCTGACAGCACCATTTCCAAGCAGATGCTTCCAGCCCCACACCTGAGCAGACACACCAAAGGCCAGGGGGCTGTACAGCTGAGACCTCGGGGACCCAACACTTGAAAAACAGCGAAAAAATTAAAAACTTTCAACAACAACGCAGCGAACACACTCTGGGACGTGTTCCCTGCATTCCCTGTGCTGCCACAGGACACACACCCAGCACCGGCTGGGCCTGCCAGGGGCACAAACCCTTCCCAAGCCCTTCCCGAACATCCCTGACAATAATCCCTTCCCGAACATCTGACAAACCCTTCCCAAGCCCTTCCCGAACATCCCTGACAAACCCTTCCCGAACATCTGACAAACCCTTCCCAAGCCCTTCCCCAATAATCGTATTTTCAGGGAACCCCCGACAAGGGGAGAGAAATTATGCTTCTGACTCCATCTTATCAGAAGGCTAATTAATTACTTTTTTATACTATATTATTCTGTATTAGGTTACACTATATTACATTACATCTAAACTGAATTTGCCAAGCACTCAGCTCTGCACACACTGCACAGAACTCGTGACTGTCACCCTCAGTCCCGACACACACTCACACACACCTGGCCCCGATAGGCCAAGCAAACAAAACACCAAACAATCTCCACATTGCATTCTACTTTAGCACAAACACAGCCACTGCAAATTATAAGAAGTTTTTCCTTTCTCTGATGTTCAGAGAATGTGAAACCCAGAAGTATTCTTGGGAAGAATTGTGCTTTGTTTTTCTCTGTGAAGAGAAACGTGGCAACACCCGAACATCCCCTGACACCTTCCCAAGCCCTTCCCGAAATCCCCTGACAACCATCCCTTCCCAAGCCCTTCCTGAACATCCCCTGACAGTCCCTTACCGAATATTCCCTGACAAGAAGCCCTTCCCGAATATCCCCTGACAACAATCCCGTCCCGATCCCTTCCCGAATATCCCCGGACAACAATCCCTTCCCAATGCCATCCCGAACATCCCTGCCAACCCCACCCGTGCGGGAGCCCTGCGGGGCCGCTCCCGCTCACCTCAGCGATGGGCTCGTCCGATTCCGAGCACCCGGAGCTCTCGGAGCCGCTGTCGGAGCCCTCGGAGCTGCCGGAGCCGCTGTGGGATCCCTGCTCCCCGGCGGGGCCCCGCGCCCGGCGCTTGGCCGGCGTGGCCATGGCACGGAAGGGCGGTGTGGCCCCGGGATGTCGCCGAATGTCGCCGAATGTCGCGATAGAAGCGGCAGGCAGCGCCCGCTGAGCGCGGAGGGGCCCGGGCAGCTGCGGAGCCTGAAGGGGGAGGCGCGGCCCGCACCGCCCCCGTGCCCGCGATCCCGGATTTCCTCTCGGTGCTGTGGTGTCACTTCCTCGCGAAGGGAATCCCTTCACGGGAATGGCTGTCGGGGGGTAAATCCGCCTGCCCAGGGCGGTTTGCAGTCCCCATCCCTGCAGGAAGGGCTGGAGGTGGCTCTCAGGGCTGGGGACGCGGCGGGGATCGGGCACTGCTCGGGCTCGGTGACCCCAGAGGCTTCCCCAGCCTCAGGGATCCTGTGCTTTAAAAGGAACAGAGTGTCTGAGCATCTCCGACATTAGCAAAAATCCCTGTAAGTAACAACCAGCGTTAGCGAAAATTGCCGATTAAAGCAGGAATCAGGCTGCTCGCTCTAAAAATCGTGTCCCGGCTTCCCCCGCCCCAAATTCCCTGGATAATTCCAGGCAAACCGCACAGAAGGGTGACAGGGAGAGCACAGTGAGCACAACGTGATCCTGGGCTTTATAAAAAATGCCAGTCGGGAACACGCGTTCAAACGCCCTGAACACTGAAGAAATGCTCATTAATGATCAAGCCTCGCTTATATGGAACGTGTTCCATTTAACGCTTTGTGTCTAATTAATGAAGAAATGTGCTATTAATGAGGCCATGGGAAGAAGAGCAGTGGGCACTCGCTGGTGCCAGCCAGGAGAAATGCAAGGCACAGAGCCCTGGGATGTAATTCCAGCTTTATAAATGTGCTTCAAGTAAGCTCAGATTTTCATCTTCCCTTTAAAGCCTCAAACACATCTGTGGGGATTTTTATTTTGGTTTGGTTTGGGGGTTTTGTTTGTTGGTTTTTCTGGTTTTGTTTTTTTTGTTTTGTTTTTTTTTAAAGCTGTGTTTGCTCTGGGAGCAATCAGGTCGTTGCCAAAATTTGAATGCTGATAGCCAGGGAAAGAATTTAGAGGAAGATGAATTTTCCTATGTGTGTGATCTGTCAGGAAAATACCACACTGGTAATTGGGGTAAATATGCACTTAGAGAATGGATTTCTGTTTGTATTATTTGCTTATATGCTTACATTTTGTAACTTTGAGTTTAGCACAAAGTTTGTAAGGAACTGAGAAGTCTCATCTTTTTTCTTCCATTTTTATGGCAGAATAGATATTTTCAGTCCTGCCTTGTTTCCTAGACTATCAGAGAAGACATATGAAAATTATCTATATTACTATAGATGTATTAATATAGACACACATATATTAAATAAAATCAATCTTTGCATACTCGTGGGTGCATGGAAATTAACAGAATAAATAATCTTTTTGTAGATAGGAGCTGATTCAATTGCAGAATGTGGTGGGGTTGTAGGACCTGTTGCTGCTTTCACAAAATATTCTTTAAAATGTGTTCCCCTTGATGAGTTTGCCAGAGCCTCTCCTTTGAGCAGTGTTATCTAAAGGCAGCATATTATTTTCTGCCCTTATCAGGGTGGGTGTTCCTGCCTGGAGAATGCACAAATAACTGTTTACTCACTGTGTAAGAGCAGTACAACTGCTAGCAACCCCCTTCTTGGAGCTGCTAAAGTCACTGTTAGAGTCAAAAACTCCTCTAGATCCAACTAAGGTAAATTCCATTCTTGCATTTCAGGGTTCTGCTGTGCTTCCTTGGTGAACAATGAAGGTTCTGCTGCTGAAGGATCCCAAAGACAAAGATTCAGGACCAGATCCTTATACTGAAGTGAGTAAACGTTGAGAAAACTAAAAAACAAAAAGTGTCACTTCTTTATTAAATGTGAATGCAACTGAAAAACAGGGGCTTAATCAATATTAGAAGAGGGTGTCTGAAATTATGCTGGGAGAAAAAGTATCTTGGAAAATAGCCCTTCCTGCAGCAAATTGTGTTAATTATGGGACATTTGTACTGAATTCATTGTAAGGCTCTTAGCAAAGTACTGATATTAAACCAGCTCCATTTGAATTAATTAGTATTGATATGTTTATTTGGACAGAATAAAGATAACAGAATTCTTTGTGTTTTTACTGGGACTGTGATGTGAAATAGAGGTTACCTGTTGCTGGGGTCCCTTCTGCTCCTGCCCTGGGCCATGTGAGTAAATCTCACTGATAAGAGGAAGCATTCCTGATAAAGGAGGGTTATTTCTTCAGGAGAAACCCACTGACAGAATTACAGAAATGCACAGGAATATTCACAGAACTGGGTGGGCACTTCAGAGTTATGTGCTGGTGTCTCCTGTACCTCAGGAGGTCCCACAGCTGATTCTTTAGTTAAACATTGTAATATTAAATAATTAACAAATTCAAATTCCTTTACCAGGGAAAGGAAATAAAATGTCTTTTTATTTTGCTTTAGCAAAGAGAAATGCTTGTGCTGACTTAGTCAGCTCTTTGAAAAAGCAAAAATGCTGTTTGGAATTTATCCCAAGAGCTGCAAACCTTTTCTTGACAGGAATTAGGATCATACAACTTGGAAGCAACCTTGATCCCAGTTTTGTCATTTGAATTTACCTCTCTTGACAGCTTATTTGAGAAGGTAAGTTTGAAACTCTTTCAGTTGTCTTATTTCCAACAGGATTTGGTTGCCAAGATCCCATTTAACCATTCTCTGTGTGGTACCTCTTTCTGTGTTGCCACAAACCAGCTCTGTACAGTAAAATTTCATGCACAGCATCAAGGAGCTTGCCCTTGCTTGTTAAAGAATTAAATTGGTCAGACAGAATCCACATTTAAATTGTAAATTGTCACAAGTGTTGAGGCATTTCAGGCACTCATTGAAGCTGTTCTGTTTGCCACAAGGTTATAAATAATTGATCAACTGATTTTTTTAAAATTAATTTATAATTTTTTTTTTTTTACTTCTTAAATTTACTGTTTCTAAATAGCTTTCCCATCCAGAGTGCTATGGAGGCCTAGTTTTTACCAGCCCAAGAGCATTAGAAGCCATCAAGATATGTTTAAAAGAGAAGAGTAAAAAGGAGGGTAAGTACATATTGGTATTCCTTGGGCTTTTCTTCTTCTTGACAGTTTCTCTGTGTTTCTTATCTATGGAAAGGGTAACAGCATCTTGTGAAGTTTGGATTTTAATTAATTTTATTTCACCCACCAGTAGATATTCGGAGCATGGTTTTTTAAAGAAGCCTGAATTCCATCATTCTTTTAGAATCATAAAGGGCTCATGCTACACTGAGCTTTTAAGGGTTGTGTTTTCACACTGGAAAATGAAGGAAAGGAGTTTTTGGTGCAAATTCCTAATTAGTGAGGGCTTTGCCAGCTCTGCTTCTCCCTTGCACAAGGGATCTTTGCTGCAGTGCCTGGTTTGCTTGCTGGCTGCCTTCCTCCCTTAAAGAGAAGATCATCTCATAGAGACTGGCCACCACTTCTGTGCCTGTAGAATTCATGTGGAATGCTGCAGAAAAAGGGAGTAAAATTCTTGAATAAGAAATTTCTCAAGTGAATTCATTATGAGCTAAAAAATGGTGAGGAAGTGCTGAGGCATCAAAGCCAGGAGATGAGGGGTGAGGAAGAATCCTGCTAAATAGAAATACCCATCACAATGAAATGCCAAAGCCTTATAAACTCTTCCAAATTCTTATCTTGGGTGGTTCTGGCATGGAGTTTCTGCTTCACCTGCTCCCTTTTTGGGCTGTGGACAAATCAGTGTCCTGTGAGCAAGGTTACACCCTTAAATGTGTAAATGCACTGGGACCCTCAGCTATGGTAGCATTTGCAGCAGCAGAGGACAATGTATTAAGATTTTAGGTCAAAAGTAGTCTCTAAATTCCATCCCTAACCTTGATTAGGACTTTTGGAAAATAAAGATTTTAATAATAAAAATGAGTCTGTAGTTCCTATTTGGGTTCCTCTCAAAGGCAATAAATCCTTGGGTTTTTACTTCTGATTTTTATTTTTACTGTTGTACTTTGTATTTCTTTTTTCACCCCCAGCAGTCCCAGAAAAAAACTCAGTGTCCTGTGCTGCTCTGGTGAAAACAAGACAATAAAAAACTTGGAGTATCTATTTTTGGTCCTTTAGGATTTGTACATCCAGGTTTGCTGAATGTGCAGTGGAATTTTAGCTATTATTATCATTTTGCTGCATTTGTGGATTAAAGAGGTCCAGATAGTTATTTAGCATTCACATTCTGTTAGCATGTGCTTAAATTGCATTTAATTTAGTATCATTTAATGTTTTTCAGCCTGGTCAAAATCTCTTAAACAAATGTGGAATATCAAACCAACATATGTGGTAGGAAAAGCCACAGCCTCTTTAGGTAAGCTGGGGTTTAAAAGAAGAAAAATTGGCTAAATCTGATTTGTAAGTACAATTTTTAGAGGAGGAGCTGCTCTTCAATGGTGCTGAGAAAGAAATTTAAGTTTTAAACTGGTAAATTTGGAAGAGTGGTAATTATGTAAACATTGGAATTATCCATGCTCCAGCCAAGGATATCCATGGATCTCATCCAGCCTCTGGATTTCTGCTGCTTTTGTTGTAATCTGATGGCCACTGCTTGAAAAATTGGGTCAAAACAGGAAAAAAACCCCTTTGTTCTTAATTTGAATGTGGTTTTGTCATTGCTTTTGGAAGTGAAATTGGATGAAAAGGATTCTAACCTTGCACACAATTTATTTGTGCACAAATTTATTTGTGTGCCTCCCTTTCTATCCCAGGCTTCTGTGGCAGGAAATCTGAATTGTTCTCATTGTTTTCCATGGTTTTTTCTTTGCTGCTTCTGGTTCTGCAGGAAATCTGAATTGTTCTCATTGTTTTCCATGGTTTTTTCTTTGCTGCTTTTGGTTCTAGTGGAAGAAATTGGTCTTGTTCCACAAGGAGAAATGGCTGGAAATGCTGAGAAATTAGCTGAATATATTTGTTCAAGTAAGTGGTTAAAATGTTGGAGTTAAATTAAAGTAATCTTAAATAAATTAAGGTCCCTTCCATCATTTCAGAATTTCCTTAAGGTAAAATCAAATGCACAGTGAGACAAAAATACTTCAAAATACATTTACAAGATATTAATCTACATGTAATCTTAGACCCTCTAGTTAATTAATAAATACTCTATGAGCCAGCAGGAAAAAAATTATTTTTACTGGAAGATCAGAGCTATAATGATTGGAAATTGCTGCTGACTTCCCCCAAAATTACCTTGTGGTATCAGAGGGATCTGATTTTCAGCACCAAAGCTGAGTGGATTTGAAGAAATTAAATTGATGCTTTAAGTTTTGTGTAACCATTTTGTTATGGTTAAATCTGTAACTCTTCTCAACCTATTATCAGATTATTGGGGAAATTTAAAAATCTATTTGCTGACTTCTTCTGCTTTTACTCTTAAGTTGTTAAAATTTCCAGTAGCAATAAGGAAAATTTTTAGATTTAGGAGCTTTTTATTTTTTCCAGTGGATGGCCCAGTAGGATCAGTGAAAAAAAGAGTTTTTGTACAGATGTGAGAGCTGCTGAGCAAAGTCTGCCCAGCAGCAGAGATTTATAGGGAAAAGGAAAATGGGGTGGGAGCTGGAAAGGATTGGTTTTGCTGGCTCTCTAATTCACAGGCAAATAAAATACTTCAGCTCCAGGGAATATTTAATGATGAAAATGGGAGTTGCCAACACAAGATCAAATAATAAATTCTGAAAATTAAAAAATGCAACATGAATATGTCATGAGTGAAGAATAACCCATCCCCTCTGTTCTAATAGCAAATGTATTAAAGTAAAGAAAGGTTTCAGCTGATTTTTAGTACTGGAAAATCAACTTCTGGCAGTGAATTAATATTTGCCAGGGATTTTTTTGAGCAGAAAGACAAGAGAAATACCTGTTTATTGTGTTGTATGAAGGTGAAAGAAAATTACCCAAGCAGTGAATTTCAGTCTCTGGAGCCTGTTTGTTGTTGAGACACAGAAATATCCTCCAGGATTTATTGGGCTCTGCATATTTAAATGCTCTCAGCTGATCAAGAGCTTTATATCAACCTTGGAAGTACAGATTAAATTATCTCATGTTCCCTATTATGTAGAAATTCATTTTTGTTGGTGCATGAAGAAGTGAATTAAAAGAATAGCTCTGAATCTTCCTTGTATCATGAGGGGTTATTGCCAGAATAAAAATAAAAGCTTAAATAATGAGATTTTTTTTGTTGTCACCTTTTGTGCTTTGGTAACACAAAGGGATTCATTTTAAGGGATTGGGAAATAAAGGGATTTACTCCAAGGCAGTCTGGCTTTACTCTTCTCAAGGCAAATATTTGGCTACAGAAGCAGATCCCAGTCCTTGTTGTGTTGGTCAGGCCTACCAAGGAATTTTTCTGTGCCAAAAGAATTTGGTGTTTGCTTACAGGTGTCACACTGACTCTTCACACAACTGCCATGACTTGCAGGAGAATTGATGCTGGAACATTGCAGTTTCATCTAATTTAAAAATCTTTTTTACATTCTGAGCCAAGTTCATTCTTCCTCTAATTTTTAATTTTAATTTAAGAATCTCTGGTTTCTAATAAAACCTCAGTGTGCAGTCAGAGCACTCAGGTGTGTCTGGGTTCACTCCTACAGGGGTCTTCCCATTTGATTTTCACCCTGCTGCCCTTTTTGGTTTTTATCCCTGAAGAATGTTTGCTTGCATAAACCAAAAATCTCCTTCCAGCTCTTAAAAGCATTTCTTCTCTAGTAATTGTCTCTTAAAAATGTATTAACAAATCTGAATAAGTAATAAAATAATTTAATTTCTTTGGAAAGCTGAATGCAAAGCTGTATCAATCTGTGTAGAATTAAATCTTGACATTTTCTCTGTGTTTCTTATCAATAGAAAGGGTAAAAGCTCTGCAAAGCAAGTCTGCTGTTAAATTCCTAATTTGACAAAAGCAGGTGAGGATATCTACTCCCACCCCAGCAGTGCAACCAGAATCCTTTTTCCTTGGGGAATTAAGAAAATGCAATTGCAGATAGATCAAAACGTTTCCAGCACAGTATTGTCCTTTCTTTGTCTGCCTGAATATTCTTCTATAGAGAGCTCTGTCATTTATTGAGTGGGACAGATTTTAAATAGCAAATTGAGGCAGGTTGTGCTGAGGAGGAGATAAAGTGCACTTCTATTCCCCTTGCCCTTCTACAAAGGAAGTTATCTTTTTAGCCAAGATTTCAATTCTAGTTATGGAACATTTTTAATGTTCCTGCTAAGTAGCCTGTCCTGTGAATTGGGGCTGCAGATGTTTTCAGTTACCTCAGAGCTGTGTCTGTGGTGAGGCATTTGATAAATCAGCATTTGATACCTTTAAAATGTATTCAATCACATTTACTCTTTATTAAAGGCCTGAGTTAATTAAAGTTCTTGTTTGTGTGTTTACAGGAGAGAAACCCAATTCCTCAGCTCTCCTATTTCCTTGTGGAGCCCTGAAAAGAGAAGTACTTCCTACAGTGCTTAGAGAAAAAGGTTGAACTTCCCCTGGAGACCCATTTTAATTAGTCAGTGATGAGAAAAGTTGTATCTAATGCTTGTGAACCAAATTGGAAGAAGTAAAAGTGGAACTTGCTGAGGAGAGGACAGGAGTAAACACTGGGAGCTTGGATGGCTGCCCACAGCTCTGGGACCTGCAAATCCTTCCCAGAACTTTCATGTGTCTTTTTAGCCTGAAATAGTTACACCTCAGTGCAGTTAGGATGTTGTGAGTGCTGAACTGAAATAATAGAAATTAATGAATGAATTAATTATGACTGCATGTCCTGATTGCAGGCATACCCCTGGAAAGCCTCACTGTGTATCAAACAGCCCAGCACCCTGATCTGCAGGAATCTCTGAGCAGTTACTTCTCCCAACAGGTACTGGACACTGAGGTGGTTTGGGATTTTCTGAGGGAGGTGACAATGCCTCCCAGAATATTCCTGGTTTTGAAGTAGTGTAACTGAAATACCACTGGGAATCTTTGCTGTGCATCACAAATCAGAATCCAGGAGTTATCTGCCCTGCACAGTTTGTGTAAAAGTAAATCATTGCTTTTCATTTTTCAAGATTGGCCTACTGGTTTTCCATGTTAGGAGCCTCCACCATAGAATTACAGAATCATGGAATGGTTTGGCTGGGAAGGGAACTTAGAGCTCATCCAGTGCCCCCCCAGCCATGGCAGGGACACCTCCCACTGTCCCAGGTGCTCCCAGCCCCAGTGTCCAGCCTGGCCTTGGGCACTGCCAGGGATCCAGGGGCAGCCCCAGCTGCTCTGGGCACCTGTGCCAGGGCCTTACACCCTGCCAGGGAACAATTCCTAATTCCCAAAATCCCATCCATCCCTGCCCTCTGGGCTAAAGCCATTCCCTGTGTGCTGTGCCTGTGTGCCAAGGCACTGGCACACTGCTGGAGTGAGCTGTGCCAGCCTCTGCTTCTCTCACCCAGGGGATCCCTGCCAGCATCGTGTTCTTCAGCCCCTCTGGTGTCAAATTCTGCCTCCAGCACATCCAGAAGCTTTCAGGGGATTTGATCAACCAAGTCAAGGTATCTTCTCTTACAAATGCTGGAATATGAGAGGCAGTAAATTTGGGGTGGGCAAATGAGATAGAAAGGCTCTAGCAAACACTGCAAACCTTATCTTTGATTTGTGTTTATTTCTCTGAAGAAAACCCCAGTTTATAACAAATACAAATTATATTATACAGAATTATAGAATCCCAGAAAGGGTTGGGTTGGAAGGGACCTTAAAACCCATCTTGTTCCAGCCCCTTGCTATAGGCAGGGACACCTTCCCCTACACCAGGTTGCTCCAACCCCAACCAACCTGGCCTTGGGTGGATTTTAAAAAAGAAATTGTTTTCACCTGGAATGTTTTCCCCATCCAATTCCCCCATCTCCACTGGGATAGACTTCATTTTCCCTGAGTGATCCATGGTGTGAAGAGTTGTTGCTTGCAGCAGGCTGCACCTGATTAAAATTCCTCTCACTTTTCCCTGTTCCGTGGGACTCGGAGCTTTCAGTGTTTGTAACGGCGAGATAAATACTCATGTTTCTGAGTCCCTGCTAAGCAGCTCCATTGATAGGTGCCTTTTAATGCTGCAAATCTTCAGCCTGAGCTGGGAGAGCTGGGCCCTGACAGTGCAGTGTTGTCCCTGCAGTTTGCTGCCATCGGCCCCAGCACAGCAAAGGCCCTGCGAGATGCCGGCGTCGCCGTGAGCTGCACTGCAGGGAGCCCCACGGCCCAGGACCTGGCTGCTGCCATCCACACAGCCCTGCAGCCACCAAACTGCTCCCACTGACAGCCCAGCCTGCCCAGCAAGCACTCCAGGAGGGCTTTTGCAGTCTGCAGACCCATGGGGTTTGGGATTATGAAGCACTGTCCTGGTCAGGGATGGGTGCGAGAAGGTTGCACTTCAATATCTTAAGAAATCTGGGATCTGTCCAGCATCCTTAAAGCATCCAGCTCTTCCCTTTCCTCCTGTGTGCACTGTGAATATTTCATCCTTGACAAGCAGCTGTGAACACTGAGATTCTGCAATCAGCCCCACACCTCACCTCAGGTATCCCCCAGCACACAGCTCAGGTTGGATTTCTCTGTATGATCAGTTTTATTTGCACATCTTCTTTTGTAGAAAAAAAACCCATATTCCAATGAAGTGTTTTCTTTTGTAAACTTGTTTGCTTGTTATTCTGCTTTTCAAACACTTGTATAAAATGTTAATTGTAGATTCTTAGTGGAACAGGAGGATTCTTGCTGTGAAGTTGCTCTGTGTGGGGCTGTTGTCAGTTCAGGTCAGCTCTTGCCCCTTGTTACCCTAACAGGGTCTTCAAAATTAGCTTTTGGTTTCTGTTCCTGTAATGAAGGATTTATGAACAGGGAAATAAACTGGCTTATCAGAGTTAATAATGGTGTTGGAGTTGTCTGTTCTGGATGTGGTTTATGCTTTAATTGTTTATCTCTGGAAGGGGAAAAATAATCCTATTTAGCACTAACACTCCCTCCAGCTAATGCCAAGGGCTTCACAGGAGATTTGAATCATAATATATTCATTTATAATCCTCCTGAAAGTCATTTGTGTTGTTAGCACAGTGCTGAGGTTCCTGGAATAACAGAGAAAGCCTCGTTTGCTGCACAGTGCAGGTGAGGTCTGAGGATGGGGCCTGAATTTCCATCCAGGTGAGAGGCTCCACATCTGGAACAAGGGGGAAGCCAAGTTCTGTTGCTGTCATTCCTGTGATGAGTAATTCCAGAGTGTGGGGGCATCAGGCACACTGGGCACAGCAGGACAGTGTTTGGCCTGGGAAGCACTTCCCTGTCTCAGGATGAAATGGGATCTCAGGAGGGTGCAAACTGCTGCAAGATCACAGAACCCCAGCATGGTTTGGGTTGGAAGGGACCTTAAAAAGCTCATCTAATTCCATAGGAATGCATGTAAAACCCGTTTCTACCTTTCTGAAAAGTGGTTTATACTGTTATTATGCAATAAAGAAGCACATTTTTTTGTAGAAGAGCATCAGGACATAAAATATTATATTCTGGATAATATTATCTTCAAATAACACATATTAGCAAAAAAACCCAGAGTCCTCACGTGCTGAGGTAAGACCCCACTCAGTGTTTGATTGGAGTTTAAAGATTTTTTTTCAAAAAAAATTAAAATTTGTCTTTCAAATAGTTTTAATTCTGTTGGGCAGGTTGCTGCTCTGAGGAGGGTCACAATCAAGAAAAACAAGGCAGACTAATGTGTTTATATTTAATAAATAAATTTTTATTGAAAAATATCCTCTCATTTATTCACAGTTTCAAGTCTGAAAAAGATAATACTATTCTTGATCAATTCCAACATAGCTGAAACCATTCACTTTCCAAAACAAAATCCCAGAGATGGCTGATAAATTGCAAGAGTCACATCAAAGCTAGAAAGGCACAGGTTTTTGTGCAGGATCCTCCCTGGGATTAACAAGTGCATCCAGAAATCTCCTGGTACAGCTTGGGCTGCCTTTAGCAGTGGAAGTGCTCCAGTGCAGCCCTGCTTACAAAACACATTTCAATAAATACCAAACCAGAGCAGCTGTGAGGTTACATCTTTATGCAAAACACAGATTTCACTGCAAGAGAAGAAGCAGGAATTTCCCCACGGTGCAAAAGTTCCATTTTTACCTCCAGACCTCCAAGCTGGCGTTTCAAACAAAGAAACGCGGCGAGCCCAACAAGGAGAGCTTTGTGGGGATAAAGAATCCCTGTGCTTTGCCAGGCTCCAAGGGAACAACAGTGGAGAGAGCTCCCCCCTGAGTGAACACAAACAGCCCACGGGAACACCCCGGTGCTCCCAGCAAGGCACTGGTGCTGCAGGCCTGCACGGCTGCCCTCGCTACAGGCCTGCAGGGCCGCCCTCACGGCACGCCAGGGCCGCCCTCACGGCACGCCAGGGCCGCCCTCCAGCTGCTCCAGCAGGCTCAGCAGGAGCTCGCTGCGCTCCAGCAGGGACAGCCCCTTGTTGGCAGTGGCGCGGAGCAGCAGGGAGTAAACCTGCTTGTTTGTCCTCAGAGCTGCTTCCTCCTCACTGCTGCCCCTGCAAAGAGAGCACAGAGAGAGAGCACAGTGACCAACTCCTAACTGAGCACAGTGCTGCCTTCTGCATATCATCAACAGCATTATTAAGTCACGTTAATGACAGTATTAAATGTGAGTATCCCAACTTGTCAGAATTCAGGAGATCCCTCTGGCTGGCCAGGACCCCTGCCAGGGGGCTCAGAGACCCTGGCACAGAGCCCAGGATGCCCCTGTGGGTTTGATGATGACCCATGGAGCAAGTTACCAACCTTAGATGAAGATCTGCAAGCCACAACAGTTTAAGCAGTGAATTTATCACAAGGTGAAAAAGTAGATTTTGGGGTTTTCCAGAATGGGGGTTCAGGGGGCAAGAGGGAGGGAACTGGGCATGTCCAGCCTTTCTCCTTCTTGGCCTCCATCTTCTGCTGTGATGGTGGCACTTTTAGATTGGTTTAGAGTAGAAGCTCACTGTCTAACATAGGTGATAGGTGTTGGGAAGTTATTGTAAATATTGTACAGGTAGTTTTTAGTATAAAAAGATAACACTGCCCCTGGGGCAGGCAGAGTGCCTGGAACTGTCCTGCTGAGCAGACCTTGGCTGGACAGGAGAAAGAATTTTATAGATAAGGAACAATAAACAACCTTGAGACTGAGACCTGAAGAGCTCTGACTCCTCCTTTGAGCACCAAGCTGGGAAAAGAGACTTTAAAACATATCAGGGTCACTGTGAGCAGTGAGAGACCCTGAGACCAACTGGGTACTGGGGACATCCTCTCCTTCTACCATTCCCTGCACTGCAGTCAGGGCATTCTGTTTACACTGCATGCAGGAACATAAAACATAAATAGAATAGAATAGAAAATGTACAAGCAGCAGTCAGGTTAATTGTAAGCGCTTCAGGAATGACTGAGAAAGGTTGAAGCAAATTAAATTCATCACACACTTGGCAGGAATCAGGTTCATTTATTAAATAGAACAGGTAGTCAATAAAAAGCCACTGAAATGCAAAGTATTTCTGGGATAAGTTACAAAGTTATTCCCAGAACAAAGAATTACTTTCAATTACTTTTCCCCTCCAATTTGCACAGCCAAGTTCTGTTCTGCTCACGATTCCACTTTGGGAGGGTACAACTGATTTCATCCACTTTGACTGCCAGGCTGCAAGTTTGGCTATCCAACACTGATTTCACTGCCTGTTCTCCTGGTTTTTGCCAAAGTGCACCTGAGACCCCCAAGCACCATTTGAGCTCCAATTTCCCCCCTTTTCACCCCCATTATCAAAGCAGAGGGCAGAACTTCCCCTCTGCAGAGCAGAAGGGAGGAAATGCACACAGGATGTACAGAAGGCACAAGAAAGGTTAAATCAAAGGTAGTTTCAATCTTAGCCTCAAAGTTTCAAGGAGCTGAGGAGATTTTAAGAGTCCCCTGACACAGCATTCAAACTGTAACAAGTTCCCTGAGTGGAATCTTCATTGCAAAACCTCACAATGATGCCAAGGTAAATGAGGGGGCAAAAACCCTCCAAACCAAAAAATGAGGAGTTGCTCATTTTATGAGACAACAGAACTAACCCATTTACTCAGTTAGCTGTGACATCTGCTTGATAACATAGAAATTATCCTGTAAAAATCCTCTGTGTTTCACATATTCAGATTGCCACCTTGTGGAAGCTCTTTTTTAGGAGCTGAAAGTTCCTAACACTGCCTGAAAAACAGCTAAAAATGCACCCAGGCTGTTTTCTCCTCTCATGTTTTTTATTTACCAGTCTCCCACTACCAAATTCCTGGGCTCAATGAACTCATTTCACAGTTTACTTTTAGCAAAACAGCTCTTCCATCAGCAGGGCTTCAATCCCCAAAACTATTAACCCAACTTCCAAGCCTAAAAGAATGCTCTAAAACTAATGCCACATTTTCAGAACTTCACTTTATGTAACATTAGGAGCAGCTCCTGCAGTCACACGCTTGCTGCAGGGGGAGTAAAAGGCATTTTCTGAGTCCCAAAAGGAACACCACACACATTCAGACCAAAGCAACAGAAGGACTGGGGGAAGGAATTTGCTGCCACACCAAATCTCAACATCTCTTCCAAGTCAGCACAAAAAGAACTCAAGTTTGTCCTGAATGCCAGCAGCAGGACACAAGACTCCATTAGGAGTTAGTGAATTCTCTGACAGCAGGGCACATGTCCCCACATCCATCCCTCTCCTTGCAGCACTACTGATGTGCCTGAATTTCTTCTCAGGTGTTCTGCCTGCCAAACTCCACTGACATTTGATCAGCAAGGTGCATCAAGAGACCAGCAGCACCCAGCAGCTGCTCCCCCAGCACTCTGCTCAGTCACACACCAATGTCACTCCACTCAGGATAAAGGACACCAAGTTCCAACTTACCCAATCTTCTTTTTGCTTGAAGCTAACAATTTAATGGATTGGAGGAGAAGGAAAGACATCCTGGACTCAAAAATCCCGAGCAGTTTCAAGACTTCCTCTTTGTTAAGGCCTGCAGAGGAATCGCTCACTGACACGCTCTCAGCAGGACTTTTATCCTTGCTGATCTGCAGGAGACAAACAACCCAAAACAATTTAACTGAATTCCACCTCTTAAATACAGGGAGTGATTTAAAAAACCCTTCTTGCAGGTGAGCTGACTTTTACATGTGTTACCCAAACTGGCAGCAAGGGACACACACATCAGCACATCCTGCAAGGGATTCTTGTCTGAGGCATCAGGAACATAATTCACACTGGCTACAGACAGCCCTGCACGTTTTAATATTTAAATAATTTAAATGTACCAGAGACAGAGAACTTTTTTTTATTATACATAGATTCTGAGGTTCTTAGAGAAAACTTTTAAGGAATAGCAGAGTTGCACAAAAACAAGTCTATTTGCAGAATCACAGTCCACAACTGTACAGAAATATGTTTTAATCCATCTCTGCATCATTTCTAGAGAAACTTTTTTTATCCACTTCCAGGTTAAGCGAGAGCTGCAATACATCTAACTGTCCACACTCTAAGCCACTGGCTCTATGGAAAAGTAACCAAGGAATATTTTAACTGCCAAATGCCCCTTCATTTGCGAAGGCACAAGCCAGAAGGGAGCAGGTATCACACCACTTGAAGCTCCTTTACCTGTTCAGTTTCTGCCACAAGCTCCTTCCTGATGAGCTGAAATGCACTCTTGGTCTTGGTCATTATATCAAGGGCCCCAGACAGAGTCTTCAGTTTCCCAGCACTGCTGTTCTGACCTAAAAAAATGAAGCACAAAAGTCTTATGTTACAGACTGTATTATTCTTCTATCCAAAGACTTCAAGAGTTAGGAAGAAAGCCCTTACTGCCCCAGTCAGC